TAAAGCCTCATTCTTCCAAGACATTATACATTTTCATCCAAAAACGTCATGAGCAATTGTCGTTTGTATTTACATGTGGGCCAATTTACTTTGGGTCGCAACTGCCACGTGGACCAAAACTCCCGTGCCGAAAAAACGCGTGGACGTAAATTACTGGAAAAAACAGGTGCGTGGACAAAAAATCGTTGACAAAATGTCCTATAATCGCCTGCAACTATAACCATCAATAGGCGAATTTTTGCGATCGGGTATGATTTGCAGAGACAACATATTTTGGAGGTACCGACCCTTAATGGAACGAGTCAGTAGTAGAGGTCGGACAAAATCTGGCAACTTTGGAAGTTTATATTTTCGAGAATATTACACAAAAAAGTTCAAATGTGATTCCATTGGTTTCTTTAAGAAAATTTCTTTCAGAACCACCTCTTGAAATTGAATTGGTGACGAAATAAACATTAAAATTTGAAATTTTAGCCAACAATTTCATGTCCAACCTCTTCTATTATTATATTAGCTCGTTTCTCTGTGTGCCTTGACAATCTAGGCTGTTTAATTGAGTGAAGCAAAAATAAATTTGGAGGTCAACGCTATTTCTCTCCTAATGCGGTGGATGCGCAATTTGTTCCAAAATAGAAAAATCATACAAAATTCGCCTAGTGATGACAGATGAATTTGGTGGTGAGTGCTATGCAGTGGTTAAATATAAGGTCCGGAATTCTGAGAGTTAAAGAATTATTTTAAAAATGATTACCACTAGTTATGGGTTCAACGTCAGATGACTTCAATCGTTAAATCAGACAAGTATTAGGACGATTTGGCCCAAGGCTCGGCAGTGCTCGAACTTGCGTGTAATATTTTGCATTGTTTAGATAAAAAATCTTCGGAAATTTTGATTTTTAAGCCAATGAAACGACAATACAGTCCTTTGCACGAATCTAAATCCAATATTCAACATGGCCGACGCCAACCCGCCAAAACACGGGACGAGACAGGAGTTTACCAACCGGCGTGTTTATGTTTACATTTCCCTTCCGTTGATACAGACCATGGTGCTTCGACCCACACGAGAAATCCACCCTTGTTGCTTATAGAACTTCCCGAGTTTGCTGTTTCATCGGCCATTCCTCACACTCGTAGGTTACTAAGGGGTTACCTCACTTTAATTTCTAAAATTTTCAAGCTTTTTAGGCCTCGGGCAGCTAACGTCAGGTTTAGCCTGACCTTCATTATCCCCTCTCAGGTACATATCAGGCATCCCTTGACCCCCCCCCCCACATCCTGATGTCATCTATGGATGATGTCATCAACAAGGAAAAGGTGCAAAAACAAACGTTGATCGGAAAAATTTCACATCAAGGACTTCGAAGGAATCACGCTCTATCAATTCAGCATACGGCAGCGGACCTGTGATCTGTGTTTTTCTCTAATTTAATTCACCTTCCGCAACCCGCTCCTCTGTTTATTTACATCAAGCCATACATCCGATTAGCATCGTTCGTTCGAAACGCTCCCTTTATCAAATTTAATCCTATCAGCGTTGTCAATTCTCGTGTGAACCGCGTTGGAAGACTATGGAATTATCGCACTGAGGCACCAACTTAAAAAGAATGTTATTCGGATACATAATCCAGAATCGGCTCAACTACACTGTGCGATGCTTAATTTTGCGATAGCATGTTTTATTCTTTCGAGGAAAAATGACACTTTGAACCTTTCCGTAAATCTCTATCAGAGTGTAAAGAATGTAATCGCAGAATTTTCTAAGTCTGAATAATGCTTCGATTTCCTGTACAACAATGAACATTAAAAGGAAATGTCTCCTCCAGAACAGGAGCGATACCTTATACTAGCAAACTGGGAGCGCAGAGAAATTAGCTTTCCGAGCGTCATCGTGGCATCGCGCCTTCAATTTTGCATAATGCAACATGGACATCCATCAAGTACGAAAAGTTGTATCTCTGCGCCGTCATCGCCGCGCTCCCTTTCCCTCGTTCTATTTTCCTGTTGTGTTGGTTTCGCTAGTCTTTGTTTTACGTGGAGCTTAAGGGCTACGTGAGCAACACAGCCGATGATAGGAAAGTTATAATCCGACCTCGTTTCTTAACTTTTCTCCCGAATCCAAGCGACACCTCACAAGCAGTATAGAGCGGAATATTGCGAGTATTCTCGCCTCACGCCATTGCTCCTTCAATTTTGCTTTTGCAAAATTGACACCTTGATATCAAGCAAAAATAGTTGTATCTTTCAGAGCGCTTTTAGGTGTCTCTCATTTGTGAAGAAAATTTAAGGTTTAGTCAGCTCAGGAGAGCTAGCTTTAGGTTAGATTTAGAAGCAGCTCCGTGATAACAGCTGGGATCAGGTCACCATTAAATTTTGTATATATTTTTTCGTGTTTTTTGCAGCTGAAAATGAGCTGATAACAGTAATTCGAAGCGTCCTGCCTTTAAGTGTTTTTAATGTTTTTATCCTTGCTCACCCATGATTTCATTCCCTCATATTTATTCGTATATTCGGACTAGGTTTTTGCGCTTTATCGTTAGCTCAAAGTATACTATGATGTACTCATATCAATAATAATTTTGGAAAGAAAGTAAAATATGTTCAGAGATCTCTCAAACGCTAAAGGGCACACGTCCAAACATTGGTATTCATGGCTGAAGTGCGAAACCACGTATCTCCATTTGCGATTTGCAGACTTCCTATCACTCTTTAATTTTTCCGTGCAAAACACTTGGAGGTAATTTCTTGTAAATTTCCTTGATTTTTCTTATATGTATGTTAGCAGAATATACTGTAAAAATGTCAAGCTATAAAGCTGGCTTTTTTTGCTCTCAAAAAAATGAAGTAGGAGCGGACATTTTGAAATTCCGCAATGGAAATATGACCCAATGAATATACTACCCAACATGAAGCAAGGAAGAGGGGCCCTTACCAACTAAAATTCTTCGATTTTCAAGTATCCGAACAATTTGAGAGAGCTTTTTAGATAATTTATCGCTCATCAAACGAAAAGAAGTATCTGAATTTCCAGCCGAGCCCTGTGCTCCATATAACTCTATGCTTTCCGGGGCTCACGTGGAAATAGAGACACTCCCATACTGCCGTGCTAAGGAAGAACGCCTTATGAGCCTTCAGACGTTGCTATAAGTTTCCTCCGATTAAAACCGAAATTACTGGGAAAATTGTGAATATTATTTTTTCAAATTTCCAGACAATTTTGTACACAATTTAATCTAAAATATCTGAAAACTTCAAGGAAAAATATGCACGAGTTTTGTCAAAAATACAGGTTACATAAAGGGAAATTTGGCAACTCCCGAATGTTCATACGGTGTTCTTCCTTAGCACGACAACATACGTCAGCAGAGAGACAGATTATGTCAATTCCTCAAAGAGTAACTGAGAATTCGTTCGATGAAATTTTCCGCCCAGTCGCTACTGTAGGTCAAATTCCTCAGAGCTTCATGTTTGCATTCACTGCTCTTCAGTGGCGATTTTGCGAGTTGACAACACCTTTTTTCCTCCATTTAAATCCATTAAAAATATCGATTATACGCGAGGTAAGCTGCTTTACCAAGAATCGATTGTTTCACATACAATTAAATGGCGAGGAAAAACAGTGTCGGCAATTTTCAAGAATCACCGCTGTTGCTCTCTTCGTTAATATGGCAGCACAGTTGTTCCTGCTTTAATTCACTTATTCTTGGTCCTTTGCAACATACACATCGACGGTGAGACTACCAGACCTCGTATTTCGGCTTACGACGTTGCAGACTTCCTGTCATACTTTATTTTTCAAATGTTAAACTACTCAACGTCGATTCTTTAAAACTTTCGAGATTTTTTGTCTCAGTCCGAAAAAAACTCTGTGAAAATTTCAAGGAATGAAATTGGTTTGTCCTTTCTCAAAAAAGTAAAATGAAGCCGGGAATTTTTGAATACTGCAAACAAGTCACATGGTCTAGTTTCTAGTATAGTTTCACCGTCCAATTGCCAGTCGGACTAAATTTTGCAATTCGGAACTACAATTTCTGGCTCATCTGTAAAAGCACTTATGTGAATAGGGAAACTAATGATAATAACGTTTTTTTCTAAAATTAGCCAGAGATTGAAGTCCCAATTGCAAAATGTAGTCCAAAGTCATCTGTGAATAAGCGAAAGGGCAAGGGCGCGGTGAAGGGTCGGTACCGCAACAACGCTGTATGAACGTAAGAGTATTGGTTAGGCTACATAGTGATACATAATACAGGGTGACACAGGATTAAGTGCGAATATTTGAGTAGTCAATTCTTAGGATAAAAAATACCTTTTTGTAGTAAAATGTTTTTTTCTTCTTTTTTTCTTCTTTTTTTTCTCTCTTCAAAAACGCTTTCCCTGGGGCCGCATTATCCCCCTGTTATCTCTTATTATCCCTTATTATCCCTTATTATCCCTTATTATCCCTTATTATCCCTTATTATCCCTTATTATCTCTTATTATACCCTATTATACCCTATTATCCCCTATTATCTCCTATTATCTCTCATTATCTCCATCTATTCCCTATTATCTCGAAAACGATAAGTCACAGCGAAAAAACGCAAGAAACACGTCCTCAATATTCTTTAACACTGAATCTAGTGGTGCCGTCAAAATGAATTGTTGTAGCTAGAAACATTTTTTGGCCACTTTTAGGTTCGATGCCCCTCTAAACCCGCCCTGAAAATGAGTTTTCCCTTTTTTTGAGGTCAAAAATGAAAAGAGCGCCAAGAAATACCCCTACTCATCAATATTTAATGATATTGGTTGATAAACATTGTCACAGTGTTAAAAAGACGATTTATTTCTCCAACTTTGGGGGGCCGTGGCCTCCGGAGAAAGTGTTTTTGGAGATGAGTTATCACACAATAACGTATTTTTTTACCCACAGAATCGACTCCTTCAATATTCGTACTTAATCCTTGGTCACCCTGCATTGATATGATGTCATTATTATAATTGAGTCCAGATAATCACTCACCACTACTTTCTCAGGACTCTTGGGCTTTTCTTGGTTCAGCTGGATTTTATACGTGGATCGTTGTTGCGTCACGTGCTCTTGAATGCCCTCATTCGATGCCAGTAAGATCAATACCATTCGTCCATAAATACAGATACAGTGTTCTGTTAAAGATTCACGGCATCCTTGATTACGTCACGAGCCTAGTTCCAAACCGAATTCGAAAATCTGACCGTTACCTTTATCTTCGGTGACACGGCGGCGGTGGTGATTTCATTCTGACCCTATCTGCGGGCTGACTGTTGAAATTGATAGACAAAGCTATAGACAAAGAGGACAAAAGGGATATGGAGGGATCCGATTGGTGGAAGCGGGTGGTTGCAATGGACAAGGAAGGTAGGTGATAGACTAACTAACGGCTATCCACGAGAGACCCTACACTTAGTCCATCATTTTCTCCCATAATCTATAGGAACCTATTACTAATAGGATGCTCCATACTTTCTTCGTCTTGTTTGTCTATCAATTTCAACGATTAGTCCGCCGGTGTTTATTAGTTTATACACTGATAAAAACAATAACATTCAGTTCCTATATTGAAGATGAGTTTGAGCTGTTTAAATTGACTTTCCATCGAGGGCAATTGGACTGCATTTTGCAATTTGGACCTATAAAGTCTGGCTCATCTGAAAAAACACTTATGTGCATAGAGAAATTAATGGCACATACGTTGTTTTTAAACTGGGCCGGAATTTATAGGTCCAAATTGCAAAATGCAGTCCAATTGGACTACATTTGAACTGCATTTTGGAATTTGGACCTATAAATTTCGGCCCGATTTAAAAACAACGTATGTGCCATTAGTTTCCCTATGCACATAAGTGTTTTTTCCGATGAGCCAGAGTTTATAGGTCCAAATTGCAAAATGCAGTCCATTTCCCGATTCGGAACAACAATTACTGGCTCATCTGTATAAAACACTTACGTGCATAGGGAAACTAATGGTACATACGTTGTTTCTAACCTGACTTTGAGCCAGAAATTGTAGTTTCTAATTGCAAAATGGAGTCGAATTAAAGTTATTTTACCGACCATTAGAGCCATCTGCGACCGGATCTTGGAAACGGGAACTTAAATTGCACTGCATTTTGCAATTTTGAACTATAAATTCTGGCTCATCTGAAAAAACTCTTATGTGCATACGGAATCTAATGGCACATACGTTGTTTTTAAACCGGGCCAGAAGTTACAGTTCCAAATTGCAAAATGCAGTTCAATTGAAGAGCCGAGAGTGAAATTCAGGTTAATTTTCCGTTATTGATGAAAATTTTCGTCTGGTATTCTCAAATTCAAGTCAAAATTTCTATTATATATGAAGTTATAAAAGTTTCTCAGTGAAAGAGGTCGGAAGCTAGCAACAGCGCGTCGGTGCCATTTAATTGCGTTTTGCTCGAAATTGCGATTTTTCGATCTCGAACTCTAAAACGCTCCATTAAAGTAAATTTGAAGAATTTTTGGGTGTTTCATCCAACAAATGGTGCGGAATTAACCCCTTAAACAGTGGTGAGCGTATTTCAAAATTTTGCCTACTTCATTGTAAGCTCCTATCTTCCCATACCCGGTCACATTTCGACGGTGAAACTACTAGACCACGTATCTCGGTTTGCAACGTTGTAGACTTCTTATCATACTTTAATTTTCAATGAGAAAATTACTCACCGTCAATTCTTGCACACTTCCATGATTTTTCTTCTATGTGCGAAGAAAACTCTTTAAAACTTCGAGCAATTATATTGATTTGTTCCCCTTTAAAATATAAAAAGGGAAAATAATTTAATAAAACCGCAAACGAGATACGTGGTTTGGGAGCTTCACCGTCGAATTATAGTCAATTGATCAAAGTCAAGTGAATTGAAATGAAGTCAAATTTAGTCAGAAGTAGAGTCACAGCCACCCCGATCTCATCCACGACGAAGGAACAGAACATTATAATCTTCAACAGTGTAGCCTATTCTAGAACCTAAGTCAATCGCACAACCACGGCGGCAAGGCATCCGAAAAAACCGCGACTTCCATATCAGAATCTTCCAAAAAATGAAAGAGAACTCACGAATAATCAGTTGCAAAAACACAAAACCTCCGGGAGGAGGCTTGCCCACCGAAAGGGGAAATGTCACGCGCGTAAGATATGCAAAGCTCGGACTGGCCGCTAGTGCGAGCCGCTTGAAGAGCCCGAAAGCTCGCAACTTTTAAGGCTTCCCGGGTCCGAGTCCACGCCGCGAGGCAGGAACCGCGTATCTCCGGTGGTAATCCTATGGAGATGAGTGGTTCCTGCTCAGCGCGGCGGAAGTAGAGTGCTGCGTCTACAGTTTAAAAGCTTATCAAAATCGGCCCGTTGACGGCATGAAAGGGAGGATTCAGTCCTTGGGTGTTTAGTGTGCTGGAAAATTAGAGGTTTTTCCGATACGCCTCCATGTGAGGTATTAGAATTTTATCGCACAATCTGACAACCTTATGGGTGGTTGGTTGCCACACTCTTAAAAATCGTGAGATTTGGTGCCGGAGTCTATTAAGTGCCTAAACACCCCGTGTGATTCGAATGCGGAGTTAAAGTAACACCATAAAAGCGGATGACATTCCAAAAAAAAGAGTAGATTTCGCTCCGTAATAGTGTACACTGGAAAAAAAACACATTGGATCTAGAGTCCAGACTCTTGAAAACATTGACAAGAAAAAATACTCTTGATTCAATCGGATTTTTGCTTGAATCAAAACGAAATCCGCTTCAATTAAGAGGCTTGGTTCTTGATTTAAGCTAAATTCTGATTGAATCAGGAGTACTTTTTCTTGTCGATGTTTTTAATAGTCTGGACTCTAGATCCAATGTGTTTTTTTTTCCAGTGTAAGTCACTCCGTAAGAATGAAAAACAACTTACAGTTAGTCGGCCAAAATTCACGTCGTAAAATAACAACGTAATTCTAACAACTACAAAATAAAAAACCTCACTCCGTAAGGTGGAGAGATTTCCGCTCCGTATTCATATCGTTTGGGGTTTTTCGAGCGCTTTGTAGATTTTGGCACAGAACTTCACTCGAAAATTTTCAACAGGGCAAATTGTGTTGGAAATCAACACATGCGATTGACGCGATGAATGGGAAATTTAAAAATCAATTTCTTAGCGAGATATTAACATTACATTTATTAATGAAAAAGTGGAGCAAACATCATACATTTAAATCATAAAACCTTTGATTTTCTTTACTAGAGCTATTTTTTCGAGCTATTTCCGAGCTCTCATTGTTCGTTAAGTGATTAATTTTCCTCAAAAATTTTCGAGAGGAAATCAGCTGTTCTAAGGATAAACGCCATATGAACCTTCAGGCGTTGCCAAATTTCCTTTGAAAAAAACCGCAAATTTTCTGGTAAATTTATGAATATTTTCCTCCCAATTTTTCAGATAATGTAGTTCGCAATTTTACCCAAAGATTCTGAAAATTTAAAGGAAAAATATTCATAACTTTCCTAAAAAATAAACATTTTATCGAAGGAAATCTGGCAACTCTCGAAAGTTCATACAGCGTACTTCCTTAGCACGGCAGAAATGTATAATGAAGTTCTTCGGTTCGTGCCTTGTGTTGTCCTTCAGTTTTTGGTATTTTAATGGCATAAGAGAAAAACCACGCATCTACGTTTGCGACGCTGCACACTTCTTGTCTTACCTTATTTTTTCTTTTGGAAAAATAATCAACGTAATGTCTTAATTACTGCCTTAATTTTTCATCGCTAGTAAATATTCAGTTAGAATATTCAGTCATAAAGTCGGTTTTTTTCTCCTCGAAAAAATAAAAAAGGGGTAGACATCTTGAAGTACCACAATGGAGATACGTGGTTTCGCTTTTTAGGTATCCGCATCCTTGTGTACATTGTATGTGAATAGTTTAAGCCACGCCGCTTTTAACGTGTAGTTACTGCTTTTGAACCAAAATTATACAAGCTCTATTTAGTTGTATACTACATTTTAAGGTCATCTGCAATTTTTCAAGAGCCACACAGACTTTTGAGACTGCGGCGAGGACACAACGAAAATAAAAACTGAACTAATTTTTAAGTGTCATGATTGGTCACCACTCCTTGTTATTAGGTTAGATCCAGCCAGGGTCTGATTTCTAAGCGCTCGCTCCTTGCGCGCCGCGCCGTATGCTACGGCCACGTAAACCCCTAACCCGCCCGGCCTGAGCAACTATTTTAACGCCCCGGAGATCGGGTTGCATATGCAAAGAATTGAAGGAACTTTGAATGTGTTTAGGTATACGAATCCTCGAGATCGAATTGAGGACATGAAGCTCCCGCGCTTTAAGTTTGATTCAATCCTCGGAGAGGATGAGAGTGGTTGTGGAGGCATTACCCATAACGTTGTCAATGTTGTTTCTTGACATAAAAAACGTCATGCCAACGTGTTCGTAGCCACTACACTGGCGTGCAAAGCAACAATGCCGTAAACGCCATTTTACATTGTTCTGAAACAATGTATGATAGGAGAAAAACTCGTTAACCTTGGGACAATGTTTTTACAGACTTCTTTTGCTAAAACTATCAAGAACTTAATCTGAAAATTTGAGGAGCTTGGGTAAAACAGTTTTTGTTTTATAAAGTGTTAAGTTCCAAAAGCGAGGGCAAATCTTGATGAATTTTCGGCGTTCTTGCTTAGCAAACCAGCACAGCCTACTATAACTCTGCCGTGATAGTGAAGAGAGCCGTAAATGTAAAAATGATCTTCAGGAAATGGGTTCACTAGCGTCTAAGTGTAAGCAGAAAAAGTTATTGAAAGGAACCTCCGTTCATTCTCAAATTGCCACGAATCAACCGAAAGACTCGTAGAAATCGTTTGGATGATAAAAAACAACCAATTTTGTTTCAATTATAGGAAGAGGGTACTTTTCATTTTCATGTTAGGCTAGTGTTAGGGAAGACATCCGTAAGTGCTATCTCTTGCATAATTTCACCGTTGCGTTTTGGACATACAGCAAGCACATTTTCAGGTTGGCAATTGGTAAAAATGGGCGGCATTTTACTTGAATGCACTGGTTTCATCGCTTTTTTGAGGATTAATGCTCCTTACGGCTGTTTTGTCTGAAAACAAGTCATTTTTTGCGCACTTAAGGCTTTCTCACATACGTCTCGTTTTCATACAAATAAGACGAATTTTGTTCGAAGTGAGTGGTGAGAAAAGAAGCAAGTCGGTCAGAGATTGAATTTACTGAATCTACACCTAATAAACCTACGCATTGAAGATGAAACAGCAGTGACGTGGCGTGCTTTGCGATATATCGATTGTTATGCCATTTAAACCTATGTAAAAGGATCGATAAACAGGGCGTTCGCAGAGAACACCTTAATAGTAGGTTCTTTGCCATAGATGTAAATGGCATAACAATCGATATATCACGATTTACGCCACGCCACTGGAAACTAGAGGTATGCCGTCTCCGTGCCTGCAGTAAAAGTCTCCAGTTTACGGAGGGGAATTTTAGTCAATGTTATGCATGTTGGCTACTTACTTATTGAAGGAGTTCCTCTTATTGAACTTTTATCGCAATAAAAATTAAAATTGGTCACATCTTTTCTTATGACTGCAAATTAAATACCTTTCTGATATGTGGTACTCATTGGACGGATCGTTCAAAATTGACATCTTTTGACCAAATCATGTAAAAATATTACATTTTTAGGGCAAGAAAATTGCAATTTAATTTGGCTCACTTCGATAAGTTCGTCGTAGAATGTCAATACGGACTTGCTTTCCTTCTATTTCTTGATGCAGCATATTTTCTATCTAACAGAGAGGTTTTAAGTAATGACGCAGAATAGAAATATACTTAATTATTGACCGAATTTGGACCACGTTTAGCAGAAAGGAACCAATAAGCCACATCAGATATTGCCAAATTTAATTTTTTACGAGAGAGCGTTTGTGCAAATTCCTCTGAAAATGTTATGGAATTTGCATCGTATTATATAGAAAATTCCCTGAAATTTGCAAAAAAATCCGCAGAACCGTTTTCATGAAAAAAATTAAGTTGCCCAATTAAATTGGCTATAGCTGATGTGACTCGGTTCCTTTCTGCTCAGGTCCATTTGATTCCCTTTCGGTCCGAAGTAAGGAAAACATCAAATAACTTATATTGTTAATTCATATCAAAATTTTTGCACTAAAATTGTTCTTCAAAAGAATAAATTTGGAATTCTGCCGACCATTTTTAAAGAGCAGACCTCTTCTGCCATGCCACGGAGGAACGCTTTGTAAGCTTTCGGCCGTTGCCAAATTTTCTACAACTAAATAAATATTTTCAGCATAACTTGTGAATATAGTCTGTCGTAGAATTTCTCCCACATCTTCAAGAAAAAAAGGATTAAGGGTCATCCCCTAAAATTGTGGCACACCCCCAATTTTCGTATCATATGGACATTACCAATTGTTTTTGGGAGTACCACAACATTTGGGTTAGTAACCCAATTTATCGGGGTACTGGCACAGTTAATTAGGGCACTAAGTACTTCAATTAACTGGAAATGTCCATATGATCTACTAGTTGAGACTGAACCCCTACCTCTTTTTGCCCGTGTTCATTTAAAGTATCTGAATATTTTGAGGACTAATATTTGGATTGCATTTTGCAAAACGGAGCCAGGATAGGATTGTGCATTTTACATTCTTCACAATAAAATCACTAAAGTCAATCAAAAAATTAAATTTACGAGGTTAATTTTCGTCTTGAATTTATAGTCCTTGGGAGTAAATATAGAATTTGTTTAGATGATCAGTTGGATCGCATTTAGCAGAAAGGAACTAGCGCGATGACAGTGTTGTAAAACTGTTGCTTCTTCACAATCATCCACAAAATCTCTTAGAATAGCAATAGTTTTTGCGTCCACCAAAAAATTGTTAATATTTTAAAGGAAAATAACTGTGCAAATTTTAATACTGTACTTATATTAGGTATTTTTAAAAGAAAAGAAGAAGTTGAACGATTTTGAAAACACTTTAATCACGCTGGCTCCTTTTTGCTAAATGCGAACCAGTTTATACTTACGAGGTAATTTTTTTTTTTTTTTTTTTTTTTATAATCT